GAAAGGGATGAACTCCAATGGCTTATCTCTGCTCCTCCCCAACGTTCTGTATATACCAAGTAACAGAAACAAGCCAATAAATAGTGAAGTCAATACTTCACTTATCAAAAAGCTTTTCACTACTAAGATTTATGGTGCTCTTCCAAATACCTGAGAAAAACCAACGTTTAAGAAGGAAACTTTATTTCAGTCCGTGTTCTCAAAGGTTTCAGTACATGGTCAACAGATTCATTGCTTCCAGGCCTGTGGCGAGACATCTTGGCACGGAATTGGAAATATAGCAAAGCTGTTTACCTAATAGTGCTTGGGAAGCATAAAGAGAGGGGGAAGTGTTGCTGCTCCAAATATCCCTTTGAAGGGCATACCACTAGACCCTGTTTCCTCAAAGTTCCACCATCTCCTGGCAGCACCACGGGCTGGTGACCAAACACATGGACTTTAAAAAATTATGTATAGCTGGGCGGTGGTGGTGTACACCTTTAATCCTAGCACTCAGCAGGCAGAGACTGGTGGATCTCTGAGAGTTCGAGGCCAGCCTGGTCTACAAAGTGAGCTCTCGGACAGCCAGGGCTGTCACACAGAGAAACCCTGTCTCAGAAAACAAACAAACAAAATATTCTTTTGTAATTGTATTAATACAATATATTTAGATCACATTCACCTCCCAATTCCTCCCAGATCTTCCACCATATTCCCCTTTCAACAGTTAGGGGTAGAGTCTGATAAGCCTTACCTTTATCTATGTTGGAGTGTTGACTGACTTGGCTGATCTTGTGCAAGTATCAGGGAGGCAATCACAGGGCTGGAGAGTTGATTGGCTTGATCTTGTGCAAATGCTGGGCAGGCAACTACAGTTGCTCAGTTTAGGAGTGTAAGGACTCTGTTAAGTTCAGAAGACACTACTTCATAGTAGTCCTCCCTGACTTCTGGTTCTTATAATCTTTCTGCCCCCTTCCTCAATGTTCCCTAAGCCTTGGGGGAAAAATATAATACAGATGTTCCAAATATGGACCTTCTAAAACTTTTATTATTGTGAGAGGCCTCACATGTCATGGCACATGTGTGGAGGTTATAGGACTATGTGTAACTGATTCTTTCCTTCTACCTTTATGTGGGTTCAAACATAGGTTGCCAGTCTTGTACAGCAAAGCCCTTTATCTGCTGAGCCTAACACATGGACCTTTGAAAGATACTTCAGAGTGAAGTTATAATACATGACCACCACTCACACGACGGCTGGCTTTTTCAGTGGTGTACTTTAAACAAAACTGTTTTAAGGATCTTGTGCTGTGTTTGAAGTAGTACAGTATTTATGGACACAACACAGAAATCAGAAGATTGCAGGAAACCCAATACCAATTCATCCATCTACATCATACCTCCTGCATCTATCTTTTAAACATTCATTCTCTGGGAATCTCATGTGACACATTTTGAACATATTTACCTTTTCACCCAACTCCTCCCATAACTCCCTTCACTATCTTCTCATTCCTTCTCATGAGATTTGTTTTTCTTCCATCAAGTACAGTTTGTGTTGCTAGCTAGTTTGGAAGTATGGCCTGTCAGAGCCTATGGTCAACCTACCAAGGGTCATGTCATTAAAGAATCCTGATTCTCTCTCAGCTGTCATTAAATGCCAGTAGCGTCTTAGCTAGTGGTGGGATTTTTGTGCCTCCTTTCCCCTTCTGTGCTGTGATTTGTTTTTTTTTTTTTTGTTTTCTGTTTTTTTTTTTTTTTTTTTTGGATTTTTCGAGACAGGGTTTCTCCGTAGTTTTTGGTTCCTGTCCTGGAACTAGCTCTTATAGACCAGGCTGGCCTTGAACTCACAGAGATCCGCCTGCCTCTGCCTCCCTGGGAGGCATCTCTGCCTCCCCATCCTCTGCTGGGATTCAAGGTGTGCGCCACCACTGCCCGGCTGTGCTGTGATTTTTTTTTTTATCTGACTGGAGCTTGCACAAGTCTTATGCATGGGGTTACAATTACTCTAAGTTCATGTGTACAACTGCCTGTTTGTATCCAGAATATAGTTCCCTTGATGTGATCCACCACCTCTGGATCTTTCCGAGTCCTATTCCAAGAAGATCCCTGAGCTTTGTAGGGATTAGTGTGATGCAAATGTCCCATTTAGGGCCGAGAACTCACCAGTCTATACTCTGCACATTAATTGCCATCAACTGCAAAGGAGGTGCTTTTCAAAGATATGTTTTCTAGAGTGGGTTTTTAAAAAAGATTTATTTATTATATATACAGTGCTCTGCCTGCATGTATGCCTGCATACCAGAAGAGGGCACCAGATCTCATTATAGATGGTTGTGGGTCACCATGTGGTTCCTGGGAATTGAACCAGATCTTCTGGAAGAGCAGTCAATGCTCTTAACCTCTGATCCATCTCTCCAGTACTACAATGGGTTTTGAAGGCATCTAGATTCTAGAGCTTGGAGAACTAACAGTATGAAATGAGCTTCTCAAATTTTAATGTGCATCAAAATCACATTCCCTTTTATATAGAAAACTTAAATATATCTTTTATGAGGAAAACAAAGTTTAGACATGAAGAATTATCCAACATGAAGTAATTTTATTATTGTGTTGTCATTTCTGCTTGTTTCCAATGCTCCAAATGTTCTTACTGTGCTTGCAGAACCTTTATAAGTGGAAATAAACATCATGTTATATCTTTTAAAACTAACTTGAAGAACCTTTATAAGTGGAAATAAACATCATGTTATATCTTTTAAAACTAACTTGCACTTTCAGTATTTGTTTTATGAGCTAGGAAAGGAATATAAAAACTGGTAAATTTGACAATTAAAACTATCATCTACTTTTCTAAATCTGAAAGAAAGTTTATGACAATTCTTTATTTTTTGAGAGGCTCTCACTATGTAGCCCAGGCCTGCCTGGGACTCAATGCATAACCTACGCTGGCCTTGAATTTCCAAGTGCTGGGATTATAACTCTATATGCTACACACAGCTTTTTTTTTAATATGGAAGAGAAAGATGCCTAATCTTAGCAAATATTCAGTCATACTAAAATGTAACTTATTTTACCGAAGAAAACATTATGATAGAAATTCCTTATATTAAAATATGTTGCTTCCTTTTCATTTCTTCAGAGTACCTTGCATATATAAACATGCACATATATACATCAAACACATATACACTCACTCAGCATACAGTTCGTTTCTCATTAATATGACACATAGATTAGACCACTTTATTTTGTTTTTAAAATTAAAAATTGTGTAACAAAACACCCAAAAGGAAAATAAAAACTGTATCAAATTTTGGTACATGTATAAAAAATATAGAAGTACTCTTCAAAAAGTTAGTGTTGAACCATTTTAATTTTAACATTTATTGCAAAGCACATTTTTTTTTTTTTTTTTGGTTTTTCGAGACAGGGTTTCTCTGTGGTTTTGGAGCCTGTCCTGGAACTAGCTCTTTTAGACCAGGCTGGTCTCGAACTCACAGAGATCCGCCTGCCTCTGCCTCCCGAGTGCTGGGATTAAAGGCATGCGCCACCACCGCCCGGCCTGCAAAGCACATTTTATAAACACTAAATTTACATAAAAGCTACACATATACAGACCCAAAAGAAAAATAGCAGTACTATTAATGCAAGTAAACTGATAAGATGTTTAAACAAATATGACAATAAAAATAATTTTCATTGCTATTTATTTTTCATAAATTTAAAAACTACTCAGAAATGAAATGTATTTAGTATATCATGAATACTATCAAAGTTTAGAATTACAGAAACAACACAGAACTACTTATTTTAAAAATCTTTCAAATATTCAATAGCCAACTGATAATTATTAATGTCAGTAAATAGTCAACATCAGTAAAAGTTCCTATCTAACTGAATAGAAAATTTTAGGCTTTGGTTAACAGGCTAAATTTGGTGGAAAAATCTTTATGTCTCCTTTACATTATATTCCTGAGTTTTTGCACAACGTTACAGATAAGATAAAAACTTAAGGTATAGCTTTGTATAACGCTGTATTTTAGTTCTGAAAAAACAAGTATTGAGATTATTTTAAATGTGAATAATAACATTTAATAACCAAGACAGAAAAGAATGCATTTACTATAGCTTAGCTCAGGGAAATGTTAATGCCTCTAACCACAATTTGTAAAGATTATTTTTAAAATATGACAGAAATTCTATTATACCTGCCAGAAGTTTTTATTTGTACCTCATGAGATCATATTGACTTTGTAGAACACAATGCTTTTATAAAAGAAATGCTCAAATGATGACAGTCAGCACAAGGCTAGGCACAGTGTAGGTGTTCCATATTATTAATTTAGCATAACAAAGTATTATTTCTACACATTAACAGTTCAACAGGTAGTTATAAGTTGATTTAAAGCATTTTAAACAGAAAATACAGTTTTAGTAACAACCATAAGAGGAATTTTTACAAGTGGCCATTTTCAGTCTTAGTTTTATAAAAATAGAGTTTCAGATTCCTTTAAATAGGCCTTAGAAAGCTGCCCCTGTTTGCTGCTAAATGTGATAAGAGCAACCTATTAACACCTTCAGAACTGATTAGTTTAGATGACAACCCTCCCTAGAGCAGTTTCCCTTGAAAACAATCTATGCCTCTGAAGACCAATGTGGATTTCTGAACAATTCCCATACCTCCTGGAAAATTACTATCATTAAATGGATTTGAGAAATAATGATTTCAGGTTACCAAAATTTTTATCATACTTGGACATTACTTTACATGAGTAAAAACATGTATGGAGATCTTGAATAACCTGCCTAGCTTATCATCAGACCTTACCCAAAAGTATTTCTTATCTAAAAGTCACAGGTTTTGCTCTAGGTCTCTTGCTAGTCACAAGAGCTATCAGACAGTGATCGCTTCTGTCAAATCTGCTGGTGATTGCTGTTCTATAGTTTTATATTGCATAGGCTTTTTCTTACTAGGAAACAGAAGAATCATCTGGCAGTTGTATTTTAAAAAGAGCAATACAACTTATGAAGAAGTTAGTTCTTAAAATGGCAATGTCAGCATCAGTAAGAAGTATCTGCAAAGCTGATTACCAAATATCTTAGTTTTTTTCTTTCTTTTAAAATAGGATCTCACTATGTTGTCAAGGATAGTTTTGAACTCCCAAGCTCCAGAGCTTCTTACACTTTAGCATCCCAAGTAGCCTGGGACTACAGATGGCACTACCACATTCAGTTTTCAAATTCCTATTTTTTTAAAAAATTTTCAATTTACAAAATAGTATGTCAACTCCATGTACAAAATCTCATTAGCCATATAATGCAAGAAGAAAATAATTATTTAACTGGATATGCATTTAAAAAGTACATAAGTTTATTTAATTATTACCTAGTAACAAATTCCTCTAAATAAAAAGAGAAAATAAGTAACAAAATACACTATCAAATGAATGCCATAGAGCACTAAGGAAAGTTTAAATTATCAAAGATTTGAAAGAATTTTTAATTAGTATTAAAATTGTTAACCGGTAGCAACTTCTGTTTTCTAATAAGAGTATTATATAAAAAGAAAACTGAAAGCTCATTGAAGGGGTTAAATAGTTTATAAGATGACTAAAATTACTTAATTTAAATGAACTATTTTAGATCTTCAAGTAAATGATATAGTATTCAAAGAATTATTTAAAAATAGCCTTTAACAATTTTAGAATCAGTAAAAATTACTAATGGCTTAAGACTAATAGACATAAGTATTTTATCAAACTCTCTATATAAAGATTAGAAAGAGCTTAATACCACAGTCTGCTTCAAATCGCCATCTGTATCTCAGCAAAGTTATAGAAGCTGTCAACATCTCCAGATGCTGTCTCCTTCTTTTCTGATACAAACATCTATTTAAAATACAAAACAAACATAAGATTAGTTCTGTGGCCCTTAAATACCAAAGGCCACATATTTATAGAACAAAGTCATAAGCTTAGGGTTTTCTTTTTAAGATTTATTTATTTATTGTGTACACAGTGTTTGGCCTCCTTGTATGCCTGCAGGCCAGAAGAGGGCACCAGATCTCATTACAGATGGTTGTGAGCCACCATGTGGTTGCTGGGAATTGAACTCAGGACCTCTGGAAGATCAGCCAGTGCTCTTAACCTCTGAGCCATCTCTCCAGCCCAAGCTTAGGGTTTTATCTTTAAGAAGTTTTTAGATTTACTTTTTATATGTATGAATGTTTTGCCTGCATGTATGTATGTGTACCATTTACATGCTTGGTTTCTTCAGAGGTCAGAAGAGGATATTGGACCTCTGAAGCTGGAGTTACATATGGTTGTGAGCCTATGGGTTAAAGAATATACTATAGATACAAGTACTATTTGGTTGTAAGGGAAAGGAGATAAAATGGAAAATTAGATTAAGATAAGTAAGATCTATACCTTTGTCCCGTTGAATATCTCGTTTACGATAAGGTGACATCCTTCTACAGCACCATTTCCATTAAATTCCAGGGCAATCACAGGACCTAAAATGAACCCCAAGAAGTTTTTTCTCACCACGAATACAAATATATTGTAAAGCTTATTCTTGAATTTCTTTTAGATTTTTGACATAGTTCACTATGTAGCCCTGAAAGACACTATGTAGACTAGTCTGCCCTTGAGCTTTTCTCCATCCTTCTGCCTTTACAGGTATGTATTAAACCCAGCATTCATTTTTTGATTCTTCTCTGAGAAATTTCCAGTATCTTCATCAGGTGGGAAAGAAGAAGGATGGAGATAAAAAGGCACATCATTTTAACTTTTCCCTATCCCTATCATAAAACAAATAAACACTGAGTCTCATCTTAGGATGCACAGCTCCCGTACTATTACACAACTGTATCACATTTTTAAAAATTATGTATGTGTGTGGGTATGTGTACATGTGGAGTCCTGCAAGTGCCTTGTGGAGGACAGACGAGGTCATTGGACTCCCTGTAGCTGGAGTTATGGACAGTTGTTCCTGAGCTTCCAGATTTGGGTCCTGGTATCTGAATTCCAGTCCTTTGCAAGAACAGCAAGCATTCTTTAACTGCTAAGCCATCTTTCCAACCCTTACTGTCACGCTTTCAACTGTTGAAAATTGTCTGGTTTCTTTGGTTTTTGTTTTTCTTTTTAAAACAAAACAAACAAACAAAATAAAAGAATCTCCACTAGTACAAAGACTAGTGGGCAAAATACCAAACAAGATAAAAACAATCCAAGTCAACACACAAGTCTTACCAGGCAGCCTGCCCTCCTTCCAGCTCCCCTACTTAACCATCCAAGTTCTAGTTCACCAACTATGGAAATAAATCAAAAGGGAATTGAGGCCAGGCACCAAAGCAATGCCTCTTTGAAAGAATTTTCCTTAAGTGTGTTTTAAAGTTACATTCTAAAAGTAAATATCAAACTTTTATTTTTAATCCTCTGAATAGAAAGATTTGTGCCTCCTTTCCCACCCATTAATTTGAATGCTTTTAAGACCCCCTCTGACTTACATTTTGAGTTAAATATTCATGATTTAATCTTTGGCAAACCTGGAATTTAGCATAGATTTGTTGGCAAGCATGACCAAAGCCAATCAGACCAAGAAAATGTGTGCTTCAATTAATGTGTATTCAGCTATCACTATATTCCAAACAGATCAGCATTTTATTTCCTATGGTGATGGAGAAGTTTTGACCTCAAGGAGTTTACAAATGTGTCTCAAAAACAGATATAAACTAATTAAACAAACAAAACAATATAGAATAATGGAGTACTACATCTGAAAAACCAAGGTAAACAAAATATGAATGCTAAGTTTAATGTAGTTCTGAGACCTGGACAAAGCACAAGAATGAGATAGATCTCATTATATTTGGCACTGAAATAACTGGAGGGTTGAAATTTAATACAGAAACAAACAGGAAAGGCAAGTACTAAAACAGTCAACTGTACCCTCACACAGACCTAGTGAACAAGCTAAACTAGGAGTTTACAGCACATAGTATCTATAGATTATGATAAGTACTGAGTCAAAGAAGAGGCAACTGTTTACATTTTCTTACTCTTGGCAAAAAGGCTCTGTGGAAAATGTGGCTGATAAGAAGAGGAAAGAGAGGGTCATGTAGTAGCATGGATGCAGGTGAAAATCGTCTCAATGTACCCTTTTATATAACTTGATATTGGAAAGCATGTCAGTATTTCAAAGCCAAAAGTAAATGTGGGGGGAAAAGCAGTTCTAAAAGTTAAAAGCAAACTAAAATAAATGAGTCTATCAAGTTAGTGATATGACCATACAAAGACTTATTCTAAGCAACCTTAGAAGGCAATGCCTTGTCTGTATACCTTCAGTGGTATGTGGCCTAAGTATAAAAATATAGAAGGTGATCGAAAGCCAGTAAGCTAGGCCAAAGTAGGCCTGAGGCAACGAACGCCACCTTGGGCCAGAGCAGGATTGAGGCAACAAATTCCACAGTAGTGAGATGGAACCAGCTACCTAGGCTGTAGTGAACCTGAGGAAGCAAGCTCCATGGGAGCAGGAGCTGTGAGCCAATCCAGTCCTGGGACACTGGTGGACCAGGATTGAACCAGGGTCCTGGTCCAGAGACAGTGAAGTCCACTGGAACAGGTACAGGAGAGTAACTGCTGAGTGAGTGAGCCAGAGTCAGAGACTATTGAGGGTCCAGATGTGAATTTGGGGCCTTCAAGGGAGTATACCTAAGCCAGGACCCCTGTGGGTCTGGACTTGAGTCTAGGACCCCTCAGGAACTAGGTCTGAGCCAGGACCTCTGCCAGTCTGGGTGTGAATCTGGGACCTCCGAGAGGGGAAAGGCAGGAACCAGAGATCTCTGTGGGGCCAGGTGTGAGTCTGGGACCTCAGAGGGAGTAGGCCTGAGCCAGGTCCTCTGTAGGTCCTGGCATTGGTCTGGGACATCGAAGGGAATAGGCAGGAACCTGGAACCTCTGTGGGTCCTAGAGTGAGTCTGGGACCTCTGAGGGAGTAAGCCTCTGCGGTTCTGGGGGCTCCTGAGCCTGGGAGCCCCAAGGCAGTAGATCAGAGCCAGAGGCCTTTGCAGGACCAACTCCATGCCAAGGACCTTTGCAGGAGTGGATCCAGACCAGGGTTTACAGAAATAGATCAAAGCCAGTAACCTAGGCCAAAGTAGGCCTGAGGCAACAAACTCCACCTTGGGCCAAGCAGGATTGAGGCAACAAATTCCACAAGAGTGGGACTGAACCTCTCTTAAGATTGGAGGGTGTGTGTGGGAGGGGGTAAGGGGGAGGGTGTGTGGAGGGAGTGGTAGGGAAGTGGGAGGAGGGGAGGAAGTGGAAATTTGGATTGATATTATTTTTTAAAGTAATAAAAATAATAAAAAATTAACAAAAATACAGAATGAAATATTAACCAAATTAAAAAACAGTAACCTTATTAATTAATTAATTTCAGATAAAATTGATTTTAAAACAGGGAAGATAATCAGAGCTAGATGGCGTTATTATATAAACAAGGGTTTTCCAAAGAAAAATCTATCAATTCTAATGCATATGCAATTAATAGACCTTCAAAGTACACAAGGTGAAGCCTCAATAATTAGAAAAGAGAAATACACAAATCCTCAGTGACACCTGTAGAGGTCAACATTTCTCTCATTAATATATCAAATAAGTAGGCAGAAAATAAAGGAGAGAGATGACTTGCACATTATCAATTAAGTTGGCATAATAGATATTTATATAGCATTTTACCAAGCAACAGATTTTACATTTCTGAGCCACCCAACATGGGGTACTGGGAATTGAACTCTGGTTCTCTGGAAGAGTAGCAAGTGATCCTAATGACATCTCTCTAATCTCCAATTTTTTGTTTTTCTTTTCTTTTTTTTTTGAGACAGTATTCTAATACGTAACCCAAGTTGATCTTGAACTAACATATAGCCTATGTTGGCCTGATACTCATGATCATGTCTCAGGAATGTGCCACTATACTGGCTTTAAAAATACTTTTCACTAAATTAAATATTAAGTTACTTTCTCTATAAAGGACCGGATAGAAAGTATTCTAGCCCTTGTGGACTATACATTGCCTGCCATGAAACAAATCTTTGGTTGTAGTTAAAAAAAAAAAAGAAAACCCAGCAGAATAGACAGAAGAATGAATATGACCATAATCCCATAAAACTTCATTTTGTTTTGTTGGTTTTAGTAGACAGGGTTTCTCTGTAGCTTTGGAGCCTGTCCTGGAATTAGCTCTTGTAGACCAGGCTGGTCCCAAACTCACATAGATCCACTTTCTTCTGCCTCCCGATTAAAGACATGTGCCACTACCACCCAGTCAAAAACTTCATTTTCTAATGCAGGCTGTGGGCTGTATTTTGCCAAATCTTGAGTTGAATAAATATGAAAATACAATGTGTTGAAAGTTGCATGATACAGCTAAAGTCATACGTATAGGGAAAAAATCATTATTAAATATATATGCAGGAGATCCTTATTTGCATACTTGTTAAAATTCTCCTGTAACTACCTCTACACTTAGGTGTGTACTACCCATTAATACTTGAGTCTACTTTTGTAGTTATTCTCAGACATGCTTGTAGTTCATGTTCCTAGCTAAGTGAAGTTAGCATTCTTGTTTTATTCCTCTTATATACGCAAATATCCTTTTCACCATCTGAATTGTGCCTTATTTTTCATATTTCTGAGATCCCTATTGATTGTGGTGTTGACACAGCCCCCAAACTTGGTGTCCACTGTACCTAACTGAGGAAGGCTATTCTGTGCTTCATGAGAACATGTGTGTACATATGCTTCACGCAGGCATGCTGTTAGCTGTAGTTCTTAGAGCAATGTCAAAAATCATACTTAAATCTGTAACTTATGCTCAAACTTTAAGAAACTAGAGAATGAACAAATCATACCTAATGTTAGTGAAAGTAAGGAAGTAATAAATACGAGAACAGAAACCTAATGGAATTGAAAAGAAAATTGAAATGCAAAGCACTTCTTTGAAACTCTCAGTAAAATTAGAAACATCATGTGAAAAGGTACTGAATGTCACTAATCAAGAAAATGCAAATCAAACTCATGATGAGATATCAACTTCACATACATGTTAGGCTATTATCACAAAGGGAAATGCATTGCTGAGGATGTGAAGCAAGAAGAACAAGAACCCTTGTGCATCGCTAGTGGGAATTTAAATTGTTATATATAGTCATTATGATAATACTTCAAAAAAATTAAAAATAGAGCTGCCATATAATCCAGCAATCCCACTTCTGGGTATATATTCAAAAGAAATCAAATCACTACCCAGAAAGAATTCCTACGTTATTGAGGCATTATTCACCCTAACCAAGAAATGGAATCAAATTTAGGGGTCTTGTTGACAACTGGGTGGACAAAAAAAGTATGGTATGGACTACTCTTGGTGGCATATGTCTTTAATCCTAGAACGTGGAGGGCAGAGACAGGCAGATCTCTGTGAGTTCTGGGTCATCCAGGGTTATGTAGTAAA